AAGGCTATATTATCCGCATTTTACAACATTTCGCAACGAAACTTTGGAATATTACTAATTTTGTGATGCTCTTTCAAGCTGTGATGAAATTTTTGTCTAGACTTGTTGAGATCAAAATTTAGTCTATAATGCAAATGGTCCATTCCAGGGTTTTTTTTGTAACACACCATATCGCTAATCAAGTTATCAGTTGATAAAACCATAGTAGCATTCTTTAAATGGACGTCAAAATACGGAATTTCGGCACATTCCTTGTAGAACGCGCGGACAAAAACAATAGAAAGGAATTGAAACTGACGTCACAATAGCTCCATCTTTGGCTTCACTTTCAGGACTCGAGTTTTCACTCCAGATATATATGGAGCTCAAACGTCTGTGTCAGTGTAGGCAGCAAGGATAACAAGACAACTGGGGATTGAGGGGGATACAGCTACCTGAAAAATACAAGGAGTAGCCTGCGAACAGGCTCTTGCAAGGAGAATTTCGACGTTTCGAGCGAAGATCCTGAGTCGGGAAGTTAGTAGAGAGTTTAAAGTGCCTATGACATGAAATTTCACCCCAAAGTTTATGGTTGCATTGTAAAGATCACTTAAAATGACTTGATAATTTCTTTTATAGAATTTTGATAACTTGTTCCCTTTTCAAGATATTCAACTTTGTTTCATATGCAAATATCACCGGTGTGACATCACATCGCATGAGTTTTCAGAAAAGTATAGTTTTCTTGACGAATACGTATCTAAAAAACTTAAAAATTGCCCTTGTATATGTATTAATTTCATAACTGGTAATTAACCCTCTGTATTTGTTTGCAAAAATATTTTTTCAAGGTAAAATATTGCGTTTTCAAAATGTCATTATGTGATGTGATGTCACACTGGTGATATTTGCATTTGAAACAAAGTTGAATATCTTGCAAAAGAGGCAAGTTATCAAAAATCTATAAAAGAAATTATTAAGTCATTTTAAGTGATCTTTGCAATGCAATCATAAACATTTGGGGTGAAATTCCGTGTCATAGGCACTTTAAGCTTCGCGTTATACGTCAAGCGGCAAACGCCAGGCAAAGAAAAAATTTACGGTATCAGGCAATAAAGAGTAAATGAACTTGCCGTTTTAAAACTGAAATACATAATTATTCTTTCGACGCAAGAAAGAAAATATGAAACGAAAACGTTCAAATTTTTCCAAGAAAGTTCGAACCTGCCGTTAGCCCGCGTGCAGGCCCAAGTTCCCTTCAGCCTGCTCCCTTGGGCCTGCACGCGGGCTAACCTGCCGTTTGCCGTTCCCGGCGAAACGTGAAGCTTAAACTTCCTAATATCCACGTTAGCAGCCATGTCGAGGTTCTATACTTGTATTTGTATAGGTAATAGTAATGGTTTCGAGTGCAATTTGGAAAAAACATGCATGAGTGAGTTTTTTAAAGATTATCAAAATTACACTAGTCCGAAAGACGAGTGCAATTTGAAGTCTTTGAAAAATTCACGAGTGCATGTTTTTTCAAATTGCATTCGAAACCATAGTATTATTATCTATTAATAATATACATGAAAAAAATATGCAGTCACGTGCATATTAGTCGCATTTAGAAATCAAGAAAATTACGAAATTTGAAAAGAAATTTGCACTGTATTTCTTTTTTTTGCACTATATTTCGAAAAAAATTGCACTGAGAAATTTTTTCATGCATATTATTTTTCAGGTAATTGTCTCTCAATTCGCAATTGTCATCTATGGAGCTCACGAGTCACGACACGCGTGACTAAATACACGCCAGAGACAGCGTTCCACTTTTTTCTGGGTGTCGCAATAAAATGTGAGAAAAAGTTAGAAAATAAGACAAGTACATTTAGATCAAAATACCTTGATCAGAGTTAATGTCAAAACATTAACTCTGAGTTAATGTTTTGACCCATTAGGGCTCTCAGTTGCGAGGTCACTGTCCTTGGAGTCGGCGACTGGTAACGTAGTCATATTCTGTCGCATCTCATCATGCCTGACTTTGGAATACATACCCGATCCCCCGATTACGAAAACATTACTGAGCCACCACAGGGGAGTTTTGATTTCTTGATACACAGACACTGCCAATATGGTCTGTGCGCATGCTTTGGCCGTTCCACTGATGTTATGAGTCAGTGGGCTGGTCACCTTAATCTGGAGGCCAGTTACATAACCTATCGCAATGCCGAACAACCCAGATAAGGTCATCACGCCCCAAAAGTAAGCACTGTTGATCATGGGGAAGTTATACATCACCTTAAACTCACCCATAATTGCCATTAAGGGTAAGAATAAGAAGATCGCATTGAAATTGTTGTACATTTGTAATCGCCAAATGTTATTGTCGACTACTTCAAGGTTTCGTTTGGTATATATGGCGTTTAAGGATACTGGCTAAGATGCCAAACATGACGCCTGAGTATGACAGCTCACCCGAATTCCCTTCTTGATTAACACCAAGTAGAAAGCCACAGATTATAACAGCACAACAAGCAACGGCTTTCAACGAGGTCCTTACACCAAGCACGACAAATGTAAACATCTAGATGGTAGATGGAGATAGCTTACTGTATTAATTCTGGCATGTTTGAGAAGGGCTTATTGATGAGGAGAGAGTTTATTGAAGTGGGGGTTTAATGTAGAGTGGGTTTAATGGAGATGGACTCAATGGAGAGGAAGGCTTACTGGAGAAGGGTGTTGATTGGAGAGGGGAGCTTATTGGAGAGGGGGTTTATTGGAGAGGAGGATTATTGGAGAGGGGGTTTAATGGAGAGAAGGGCACAATGGAGAGGGGGCTAATTGGTGTTGAATGGAGAGGGGTAAGGATTGGGAGCTTACTGGAGAGGGTGGCTTTTTGGATAGTGTGGCTTATTCAAATAGGGAATTATTGGAAAGGGGACATATTGGGGAGGTGGACTAATCAGAGAAGATTGTTGGTGCTGATTAGAGTGAGTGTTATTGGAGAGGGGTTTATTGGAGGAGGGTGTTGATTAGAGTGAGAGTTATTTGAGAGGGAGGCTTATTGAAGAGAATGTCTTAATAAAAAATTTCCAGTAACCATCAACATGAATGAAAAAAATTGAGAACTGAAAATTTTCAGTTAATGAAGGGTTGGAATATGTTAGCAAGCTACATAAAAATTCACAAAATGTTTGGTATATCATGTTCATTTTGGTAACTAAAGGGCAACAGGAAGAGTGACTATCTAGAGAACTTGCATCACCCCTAGAGGAACCTAATTCAACCTATAATGTTAAACTCATCTTACCACATTAAATACAGTTGTTAATGAACGACCAACATTGTAGAACGAGACGCCAAGGTACTTGAGACAAAGATTGTTGAATGTGATCATACCAACAAATACCACAGAAAGAGACAAGATCTATTGAATGATACACAACACAAATTAAGATGCAACTCATGTGTCAATTTTCAGTAAAGGTTACCATCATATAAACAGGTTTTTCTGAACAAAGCGGCTTGGTTGTTGGCGCTGCTGTTTCAAATGCTTGTCTTGTATTAACCCATTAAGCTGCAGAGCCTCCCCATTGATGAGTAAAATCATCTGGTATTAGACAAGTAAAAAAATAAGTTGGGTGCATTGGGGCTCAATTATTATTTGAAATTTGTTTTTCTTTATATTTTCGGCTGGCTGTGGTTATTGCTGAATATTTAACTGTACTGAGATTTGCCACAAGAAAAAGTGGTTATTTGTTGGCAATCTAAATTCACATACGCATCACCACCATGTTATATTACCTGTCTTGAAACTTTGAAGTCAATTGAAAATGCAGGAAATTTCTCAATCTGTGGATATTTGTCTCCAATAAAACTCAGGAAGTAAATACATACGACTGTAACCACACACTGGTACCAAGTCACAAACAGCGGGGCATCAAGCTAGGACATAAACATAATATTGATGGTTTGGTCCTTGTATAAGTTGCAATGAAAAATAGGTAGTGAAGAGCAATACACTCGGTTCTGGTCAGTTAGATTATAAATAACCATTTTGCTCAGTGGCAAGTGACTTTCACTTAAGACCACTCATGAAAGACCTTCACTTATAATCCTTTAATCCCTCTCAATGTGTAGTTTTCTGGTGTTAATGTAACTACTATCTATAGAGACTAGGCTTGGGTGGTTTACCGGTTTTACGCTTAGCTTTTACAAAAACCGGAAAACCGTTATTACGTAATTGTTTACTGTCATCGCCTGAAACTCGATCTTAATTCTCAAAACATGACACCAATTAAACTCAATTACGTGACACTAGATACAAATTCTATTCTTATAAGTTTTCAAATGCATTCTTGACCCTTTTATTTTAAAACTGAAGTCGTTTTAGGTTACCTTTGCACAATTTTGCGTTTTGTCATGTACTGTTCGTTTGCGTATGACAGAAAAATACCACAATTCCTCCTCATTCAGTTGAAATACAAATTAAAGGGGAAAAACCGGTTTTTCGGTTTTACCTGTTTAGGATCAGACGGTTTTTCAGTTTTGATTTTAAGCAAAACCGCCCAAGTCTAATAGAGACATGTATAAAGTGTGAAGCCTGTTTTCCACTAGGCAAATTTGTTTATGTAAAGCAACTTTCTTCTTTATTGGCATCACTTTTGCAGATGTAATAAGCGGTGCCAGCAACGGAAAAATATCACTTTGTACTAACAAATTTGCCGAGTAGAAAACACCCTTACACAGAAAAAACCCACCAGAAACAAGTGCATTTTATGCTTTATGATGTTACGCTTTACTAATATGACATACACGAAAATGACGGTCATTAGCCAAAAATCACATACTCTCCAGAAGGGTGTATTATAACAGTATCATTGTGGCAGACATACTGTCCGGGCAAGAAACCATTTAGCCAGACACTTGTCCTTTTCGTGTCGGAAAGTTTCCATGTGCGACTGCTTATTTTCAGGCTTGAATATTTATTTTGTTTTCCAAATTTGCATAGATTTATAGTTAACCCTTTAAGCGGCACTGTAGCAGATCTGCTACAAATAGAAAAGTGCGCGAATTTTTCGCAGTCTGGGTCTAGTTTCTTCTTTTACCCACAATGCAATACAGCCCACGTTGTTGACATTGTTGTAATGGCGAAAATTTTTACCAAAGTGGCTTTTAGACCGAGAAA